ATGAAGCGATGAGTAACGACATTGGTGTCCCTTTTCAAATCGCAATTAAAATAAATATAAACAACAAGCAGTTGCCGGGGAATAAAATTTAATAACCGTCAGGGAATAACAGAGGCTTTGACAACGTAACGTAAAATTGTTAAGGGAATTGCGCAGTAAGCGAAATGATAAAACAAGAGTTAATGGATTTTATTGTTGAAATCATTGAAATTTTAACGAAACGCTTCAATGCTTTCATTACGAAAGGGATATAAAGTGGCAACAAGAACGCTAAGCATAATGTTTAATATACATATCAATTTCGGCCTTTATGTGTATTTAAATATTTAAGTATTTGTTTATTTAGTTTAGTATGTTTTTTGCATTTTTTTTTTTCTTTTGATTGGTAAAAATTTCAAGGTCATGTCCTTGATTGTAGGTTATACATGGTAAATAAAACAAATCCGTTTACTACGTTTTTACCTACAACACTAACAATCATCTAAAACATATCCATACTTTTATATATATGAAAACAAAAAAATGTTATATTGTATATGCATATTATTAGAAAAAATTTTTATATAAATATCCAAGTACATCAGTAGAGAGGACGACTGCTACATAATGGAATGAATAACAATAAATGTTGAATAAATGTTTTGAATAAATGCAAACGTTTTCAAGAGTCATTTGAATACGTACATATATATTGAATATATATTGAATATATGTATATGTACTACATCCTACATCCAAATCTCCGTGCATTGTTTATTTATTTATTTACCAATATGTATCGGTTTTAGCTTGTACAAGGGTAGTTTTCGTAACGGTCTGCCTACTTAAAACGCTGCCAACTTTTGCCTACCTTTGTTTGATATAAAACAATTTTTCCTTATACGTTTAAAACATATACGAATATACACAGCGGGCAAGAACGAAATGCTTAATTATGTTTTTTCAGATAACCACCACCGAGCGATGGGAATATATTGATTTCGTGGAAATATTTACAATATCCCAAAAGACTTTTCAGTTGCGCTAGTAAAGTATTTATACTTTCAGTCAATATCAAATTCTGCACCGATCTAGGCATGTCTTTTCGCTCGTAGGCGGTATGGATGATTGTGTATTAGAAGCACTTTGACGATCGCAGGAGTGTACATATCCGGCCATCACTACTTCTATTTTGACAACTTATGCTAGTTCACTTTCTGTCCCCATAATTTTCAATCAGTTTCTTAAGGCGTGATCTTGACCGCGCTTTTAGGAAATGTTTACCTTCGAAAATGTTCTCCTTTGAAAAACCACTCTAATGTTGCAACTCTTTTTATCGATATGTATTAAAGTCAATCCTTGATGTGGTCATTTTTTATCATAATATTTTCATTCATTTATATCGTGCGTGGTACGGTGTCCACTGGTTCTCAATCACTCTAGGAGTTCATGAGCCGGCACTCGTCTAAATTCAACGGCTTCACGGCTTACATCGATAAGTTAGTCTTATATTGGAAGAGTTTTTCACTTGTAATTATTTTCTTTCAAAAAATTAAATTAGCATTTTTATCCACACCATATTTTTCGAGTTTGCTATTATCTGTCAATTGACTTGGAATTTCAGCTCTAACTTTATGGTAACAGTCTCCAGTGAAAAAGGTACGATTTTTTTCATCGGCTGACTGCAACCGGTTTTATGACTGATCTTTGCCAGAAATTTTCGAATGAAAGATTTGCACCTAAAATAGACGGCACTTTTTCTTGTTAGCTTTCTTAAAAATTCTTCTGTCCATTATTAGACGTCAGGCAATATTTCAGGATTAGTACCGTTTTACGTGTTCTACAAAAAAAAAGTTGAGATCTCTAAGAAAACGGTCGAAAAAATCTTGAGATAGGAATAAACAAGAATATTATATGCGGTTGTCCGGCAAGTCTCGTTTGCTTGCCAGCTTTACCTTAACAAAACAACAAATCAAAATCGGATTCTCAGTTCCTTTGGGCGCGTTCTTTGCCCAATTTGACACAATGACACACTGTCTGCATCAATTTTCAACGTTTTTGTTTAATTTGAAGCTGACATGTTTTATTTTTGCGGGAGAGTGTTTATCACGGACAGCCGCGTAGGGAGACAGAAAGAGAGGCAGACTTGCCTACTAAACCGAACTTGACACTTACCAAGAATATACACAATTTTGAACGGTCTTTGGCACATCCTTGTGCATGCTGGAAACATCCCGACAAAACAAATATATCCCAAATCTTCGGTGGAGAGTATAAATAAAATTTTATTGCGATTGATGGTCCAACGCGTAATTTATTCCCAAAAAAAGTTCAAAATATTTTTCAAGCACATTAACAAGTTTGCAGTACTTTGTAAAAATTCATTTCAATAAAATGTTTGATGAATGAATGATAACCAAATTCGAGAAAATCACTCATAATCCCTTGCTTAGCATGTGGTAAGATGTTTGCGCGATGGGGTCTTCTATGGAATATTTGAAGCAAAGTACTTTACTCTTCAGAGTTATACCCAGATAAACTCTTCTTGTACTTATACAGTACCTGGGTGTTGTTGTTTGGCTGGCACGGACATAGTGACACTAGTTAAGTAAGGCGATTGGTTTTGTAATGAAGGGAATCTTTCTTCAACACACCTATGTTGAAAGATTCGAAATTCAAATTGTTGGACCATCAGCACTAGGGTCGTGGGTCGTGGATCCATATACTTCATTGCCTAGAGGAATTGTGGCCTAAACAAACATTTCTTATTAAATCGTAGCCACTGCAAAGCTTCTAAGTCTGACAACACATTTAGGTGATAAGAACCTCCTACTCATTGGAAAAGAGCCTTTTCAAAGGGAGACTATGTAAACAGAAAAAAATTCTTCAGTTCCTGGCAACAAATCGAAATTTGTCATTTTATTTGTTGCAGTGTATAGGCTGTAGAAAGCAAGGAATTCTTTTCCTAAAAAATTTTAAAAATCGATAATTTTTTTTTCTGGTAATATGAGGGCATTCCTTTCTTTAAGAATTCCAGTGATTTATGTTAATTCTCCTTCCATGAGAAATATTACTGTTAACATTCGGTTAAATCTTTTTGAACATAAATTTTGTGTATTGTGATATCGTGAAGACGGCGTAATTTCTGAAATGTCAAACTTTTGTTAAATTGGACTTTGATTACTTTTGGATTAAAATAATAAAAAGAACAACATTAAAATATATATATTTTTAGTGGGAAAACCGGAAAATCTACAAAATTGATATATATACTGCATTACGTGTGTACAGGCACATGCGCAGTTATCCAATTTTCAATTCTCCTATATAACACAAGTATAGTTTTATGTATATATAGTATATATATATATGTATACAGTATATATATGTATATACATATATGTGTATATATATACACAATCATTTTGTACTCTGTATTCATATTTCATATGTGAATATATAACGCATACACATGCACGGATTTATACAAATAGTATATAATACGCCATTACAAAGTACAGTTTTAAAGCATAAATGCAGAGCCAAAGAGTCGGCAATTTAGGTGGGCGTTCAAGTAATTTCTGGTCACATGTATACATGTACATGGATTCTAACGTGCATATAGATGTACATATATATGTATGTATATATATATATATATATATATATATTCATATATAGACAGTAAATTTCCTGTATATACGCAAAATAATGTATACAGGTTTTGGTTATTGTTTGAAATAAATTTTCCGTAAGTATTTTTTTTTTTTACACATTTTCTAGTTGGTTTTATATTAAGAGAAGTTTTACATAAAACAATATCTGCAAGGGCATTATGCGTCTAGGATCACTCCTCGTAATTATTTCTATTTATTAAACTAAAAAATGCTTTTAATTAAATCTTAGCGATTTGTAAAAATTTTGTCGGAATATTTTGAAAATTGGCCTAAAACTTCAAAGATAACCTAATTATGGTCGTAATTATGGTGTAGTTTACTGAATCTTTTTTACTATAACAAAAACTAAACGATAAAACCCGAATGCCTACATAAACAACATAAATCGAGGCTTGTTCTACAACTTGCTTACCGTTTTTCTTTCTCTCAAATCGAATCATTTGATTGATAGATTGATTGATTGAGACCTGGAGACAAAGTAATAAAATGATTAATATTTTCGCTGTTTAAGTGTCGTCTAAATTATTTTCGATGAGTGTAATGAGCGCAGCAACAATAAATATTATACATATATGATTTTTGTTGGAATAAATTCACGCTTTTTTTCTCATCTAATCTTTACAGAACGGTACTGGGCGTGTATATTGATAGGTACGCCCACCACGGCATCCTTCTAAATTTAAAAAAGAACGTTGCAAAACGGTGTAGAAGAACCGTCCCAAATTGCTTAATTACCTATGGACGGTCGTACGTGTCGCGGAATGAATTTCGTTTCTCATTGATCGACCGAGTAGCGCATCGACCCCTTTTGAATCATTGTCGGTGTGAATAGAGTTTCTGAACGCAAAATATTCTTGTATATAGTAAATTTACTAATGCTGCAACGTTTCCCCCTTGTAGCCAAGACTTACGACGTTTAAACGCTAAGAAATTTAGATAGAACCACTTCTTTTATTATACTATCTTCTTTTTCAACTAATTCTGAAATAACACGCTCCGGCAATGACAACAAATACACTTTTTCTACACGAATTTCTTCCCACAAGTTCCCACAAGATTTCTCCAGTTACCCGACAAGTGGCAAAAGACAATAAATAAAAATGGCGAATATCTCGACTGTTAAGCTTTGTAAAAAGTATAATTTTGAATTTCATCAAAAAAAAAAAAAATACACAGAATTTATTTATACACCTAATGTTTTCATATTTGTTATTAGATAAAATAAATTCAAAATAATAATTGTTGTTAGTATCAGTTGTTTTATTCGATTTTTCCATGTTATATAAAAAGCGATTTTAAATGCGTTTATTTAGGAAAAATTATGATTATTCTACATAGAAAACAACATTATTTGTAAAAATTTATTCGTAATTATGGTAAAATTAATGAAAAATGAAAAGTCTGCGATTACTAAAAATCGTATTTAATTAGACGAATTGTAGATGAAAAAAGGAAAGGCAAACAAATTTTACATAGGTCTACCGATACCACGTCCCATAGGACCACCGGCACTCGGAGCGTCGCCAGCTTTCGGACCTTTAATGGTCTCATCTACAGACAGTATCATGCAAGCAGCTTCAGCGGCAGCAGTTAAAGCATTAATTTTAATTATGGATGGTTCCCAAACGCATTCTCGGAAATTATCGGAGATGTCTTCCTTCGTAATGTCGACTCCATACCACTGGCCACCTGTAGCAAGAAGGCAATAAAAGAAATATATTAAGTTGAATCCAACAATTTTTAGTTTGTTTAAAGCTTTCAGTTAGAAGAAAATTGATCCTGATTTCTTCTGTCAGACGATAAAATAACGGTAAATTAATTAATGGCTTTCCAACATTTTGCAAACAAAATTATTTGGTTTTTTTAAACACTTCTTAAGCAACTATCAGACTCAAGAAGGCTGCTCGAGTTTTTACATTTATATATTATTTAAATTATTAGCTAATAAGCAGCCAATAAAACTAACTTTTCAAGGAAAAACAATTTATATGGGTTGTCTGTCTAAAGCGTAGACAAAGACTATACAGAGTTTATTTAGATGTCCCTGCAATGCAATTAACTTTGTTTATCTAAAAAATTTAACTAAAAGTAAAACCAAGTATTTAATTCAATTTGTCAATAGTAAAATTGATAAAAAAAATATAGAGTACTAATTTTCCATTAGCACTTGATTATAAAGTTTGGCTAGTATAGATAGTGAAAAGTAGAAATAAGGTCTAGCAGATAACACATAGTTCATCAATAGCGCGTTCATTATGAGGGTCATTACGGATTAGAGGGTCGGAACGGATTGAATATGAGACAAAAAGCATCAATATAAAACCATAAAGCAATGGTTGATGCCCTGAGTATCCCAGGTTCGGTTTATCACGGATATAACTGTTTTGAAAAGCAGTCTTAATCGCGTAAAATAATCAGCAATGTTATCACGTGATCACCAGGATCGTGGTGCAGGTGGCGTGGTACTGGTCGGCATTGCCTTATCATAATGTTCTTACTTGTTTTCAAAAAGCTTTAGACTTTCGGAAATTTTTTGGGTATTCATTTAAGTAGGAATTAGCAAATTGTACCCCCAACAGCTGTAAATAAAAACCGTCCAAACGTTCGCAATACCGAGAAAGTGGTTCGCAAAAAGTTAGAAATCGCATTCAAATCTTTCAGAAAAAGTTGGAAGTTCTTGCACGCAGACTGTAAATGGAAATACGCCTAATCGGTTAAAACGCTCGCTCACATTGCAACATAGACTGAGAACACTTCTTTCATAAACTACGCTGGACACACAAATAGAAAAGAAGCATCCAAACCCTTTCACGATTATAGAGTATGAAAATTGCACTCTTTTTCCCTTTCTTCTGTTACTCTTGTTTAGAACAAAGGTAGTGGGTATAAAAAGTCGGGCACAGCCGGTAAATTTAATAAAATTTCTATTTCCAGCGAAGACTAGGCAATGATGTTATCGTTTAATATTAAGAACATTTCTACGAACATTTTTATGAGTGGGCTTACGTTGAGTATACGTCTGATTTAAAGTATGCAAAAGTGGCTCCAAAAAACCAATAAAGCTCTGACTTTGCAAATCATCGCGATAGTATTTAGTATTTTAATGTTATTTTAATACTTTTACGTAATTTCACAATGAGTATGTTTTCCAAATGCTGCAGGTGGGCTTAGCTAGCTAGACATCAAACAAACGGTGGCTTAATAGACCTTTTTTTTTTTTTTGTTATGTTAACAGAAAACGTTTTAAACCAATAAAACAGTAAAACAGAAATCATAACAAGCAGTATGCTTGTATGTAGAGAGAATTATCTCGAATTTTACTTTGTGTTACCAATTAGTATAGTAAGGCCTTCTATTCTGTTGACAGTTAATACTATAACCGTTAAAACATGCTTTTATATGTAAGAAGAAGATCAAGAAAGAAAGGAAAAAAGCGAAATCTATAATAATGGGAAGAAGCAAAGCCTATAATAATTTTTAAGGAGAAAGACGGGCAGAACTTTTTCTCAATTATTGTGCTAAACATGTTGTCGCGATTATCGACTTGCAATTTAAAAACTGAGAAACGCTTTTGTTTGTTCCGTTTAGGGTTAATTACATTAAGGTTGAAGGCGTAACTAGTGACATACATATTATTTTGGCTAACATATTGGCTGCTTCCTATAAAAGTAATAACTTAAGTCTTAAGACTCTAATGGAATCATAAAATTTCGTACAATTATATATATGTATAGAATAAGACATAAGACGAACAAATTACTTATCAAACCGTGAAAAAAGAAACGATTTAGTAGTGAGCGGTTGAGTTAAGTTTCCCTCGTTCATAACAAAAATTGGTGGCTATGGTGATCTAAATTAATTTTCTTAACATTTTGATATAAGCAGATGTACATATTAATTAAATATTGTAATATTGGTCAAAATTTGTCCTTCAACTTACCAGAAACGAAAAGTAATTTTATTTCAAGAAATTCGGAAAGAAAACCACTCACGACGTGACATTCATTCGTCCAATTACTCTATTATTATGAATAATAGAAAATAATTTAATCATGGGATATTGGTCGTGTGTTCAGGGTTACACTGTCTTATTCGTAGCAAGGAAAAAAAAAAACGACCCTTCGCACTCATGCATAAAGCATTGCTCTTCTAAATAAAAATAAAAATTGCTTACCGGCAAGCAAATGGATAAGAAAACTAATTTCAAAACTGCTGCTGGTGGTAAGAGAACAAGTTTTCACAAGAGTCGTAAAAAATGCCGACGAATAGGTGATTGTACTACTTCATTTGGCCTGGGATTGTTATAACAATAACATATGTACAATTAAAATTAATTCTATTCAGAACTATTTGAAAAACTATTGAAAAATTCTAAGGAAATTCTAGTCTACAAATTAAGATAAAATAGTTTAAAAATATAAACACTTTTGTTCTTATATTTTGTGTAAGTAAATGCCAGATACACTTAACACTACCGAGAATCATGTGTTACGGAATGTAAAGAATAAAAACAGTTTTGGAAATGATCACCTACTTAAATGTTTATTTACAAAATAGAAGAAATAAGAAAATTTAATTCGGCAATGTCCGAATTTTTTATGCCCAGCTCGGTTATGTTGAAGAGCACTGCAAAAAAGGAAAAAACTAAATATCCATATTTGACAATCCACATACGTGGGTGTTGCTTATTTGTTCTATTTTTGTTGAATAGAAGTGTAAAAAAACCCAAATATCCAGAACGTACTCAATCCGCGGGCCAATCTTTTCACCGATTTGCGCCATTTCCAGTACCAACCTACGTGCGATGACTTCCAATTTTCATGACGAATTTGAAGCAAATAATTCCATCATTGCGATCGTATGTGCGTTTGCCGCAGCAGCTAACGGACAAATATGGACTGCAAGGACTGCGGCCTCGAAAGGTATTTTTCTGGGTGCTGCAAACGTTTTGATAAAATAATCAATTTTCCATATTCCATAACGTTAAGTAGGCGTAAGTAGGCCGATTTTTTCCATTTTTGTACAGTTACTGCAGAACCACCCATAGGATGTAAATACAAATTTTTGCTATTGTATACTGTTGCGGATCATAAGAAACGGGCAAAAAGCTCAATTTTTTTATCCTTGAAAACAGAGAAGGTGTCAAGTTACGTCGTCCTGTGGTCGTGTCGTTTCATCAATTTGCACCCTTTGCAATACCAACCTGCGTGCCCCAAATTCCAATTTTAATGCTAAACTTGCCACGAATTGCTCCGTTTTTGCGACCATAAAAGTGGCAACCGCAGACATTACATGGGCTGGTAGACAGACAAATACGCTTATATCGGTTTAGAATTTAATGTTGACCAAATACATATATATATGTATGTCCATTGTAGAGGCTCTGAAGTTTTTTTCTGATTGTTGCAAGCGTTTTGACAAAGTGAATATGCCCCCCATCCTTCGATGAAGGATGTAGTAATAATACAAATACTATTGAAATGGGGTTATATCATATATGCATTTGAGATTCTGAAAATCTCCATAACGCCTAATATGACATGTGCATGAATAAAAAAATGTGCCTTGTTAAAGAGAATAGACAGAGTAGAGTGAACGATTTTTTGTTAACAATGATGTTTTCATAAAGTTATTTTTTACAAAGTGTCATCCAAAGGCAATTGAACTCGCCAAACACGTCTCGATACTTGAAATGCAGCAGTGACTTTTGCACAGCACAATATCTCTTCGCCGGCAACTTAATCGAATTTAGCTAATATTTGCTAGCAAACACCTAATTTACAGGTCTGATGCATGTCGCATCAATTCAAATTTTTTTGTTCAGTAGGCGAAAGCGGCTTTTTGCTTCCTCCATGGAAACTATTGAAAAGAAAAAGTTGGGCAATCAATTCTTAGTTGATCATTGCACTTTTCAAAACTCTAGCGCCTTCTCTTCTAATTGACAAACTGGTTTTATTACACACGTATTTAATGAAGTTGATAACGTTAACGAATTAACATGTTTATTGGACTTCCGACCCTTTAATATTAAGCATTCAATGATTAGGGAAAGGAAAGAGAGCTTCAATATCATTTTTATCTCTTAAATATTTTTATTGCACTACACAATCACGAGCTAATTTTTTATATTTTTTAAACAAAGTCAAGCAGTCTCGGAACTATCTTTCGTTTTAATCTAAATTTAAAAATTCCATTTTTTTTCTTGACTTGCTTTTGCCTGTCATAAAAATATATTTTTATAACGTAAACAAATGTTAATTGCTCGCAAAGCAAAAGTGCATTATTAGCGCAAAGTGCTTTTCTTTTCTTAAATAAGATTTCTTTTGCTTTATATGCCCACACTTAATCCTCTGACGGTGATGTATCCAATTGAAGGAAATTAGATAAGCCATTCTATCAAGAAATTAGTTTTCTATTTCTCAATATAACAATGCAATACTTACTGACAAAGAGTAGTATGTATGTTAACAGTTCGTTAAATGACTAATCCTTAAGAAGCAGCAGGAGAAGGAGGTCTGTCGTCTTTAGAAGTGATCAATGTGGAACGATACTCACTCAATATTCATTCATTGTCATCATATCTATCTATCATCATGTCTATCATAGTGCATTATGAGGAGATAAATGAACGTTCGGTTAGGAACCTAATTTCTCGTTTTACTTTGAGCTTCTGGTGTGAGATTTGTGCC